GAACTCTACCCCAAAATATCGTAACAGTGCTCACTAGTGACTAGCTTCATGAGGAAATTCTCGGAGTTCTAGTTGAGAAGACGTGACCAATGGAGTTCAACCCTGTCGGGTGTAGGCAGTAACTACCAAAGACAAATGATTTAGGTCGCGCAAAATCCCTAGATGAATCAGAGTTAGACATTAACACCGTTTGATGCCGGCCCGGAGGTTGGATGGTAAAGCGTTCGCCTACAAGGCAAAAGTCCCGGGTTCGACTCCTGCGGAGTGCAGGAGTCGTGGATGCGCACTGCTGTAGAGTCCGATCCCAGGACGAAATGGCCGTCCAGTGCTTCCAGGTTTCTAATGGTGGTCTAACAATCATTGATTGATGATTTCAAATGTGTTATTATTGGCATTATTTTCACATCCTGTATTTGTTTGTAATTTTCTGCCTCTTCCCGTTTATACTGTTCTTCAATATCGAATTATGTACACACTTCTTATTATGTAATGATTTTAATGTTTTGTAATGATTATTTTAAATCCATTTGTCCACGTTTGACCTACTATTGATTAAACTTTTGTTATCGTAGTTTATTTTCCTTACTACTATCAGTATTCACCTGTCTTCCTTTTATCAACTTGTATTTTTACCTATTTTGTGTAGTGACGTGATCTATGTCATAGTGATTATTTGCATTACGGGGTTGTGAAGATTGTTAAGTTACACATTTTTGAAACCATTGATCGATCAATGTTAGTCCACCATTAGAAACCTGGAAACACTGGACGGCCATCACGTCCTGGTATGGGACTCCTCAACAGTGCGCATCCACGACTCCTGCACACCGCAGGATTCGAAACCAGGACCTTCGGTATTGTAGGCGAACGCCTAACGATCAGACCACTGAGCCGGTATCTAACGGTGTTAATGTCTGACTTGATCAAATTCATGGAGTTGGGCAACCACATACACAGTCTTCGGTAGACACTGTCTACACCCGAACAGGTTGAACTTCACTGTTCACGTCTTCCCACTAGAACTCGGAGAAGATTCCTCACGAAGCTGATCACTAGTGAGCACAGGTAATTTGCATTACAGGGGGTTGTGGAGATTGTTAAGTTACACATTTTTGAAACCATGAATCGATCAATGTTAGATCACCATTAGATCAAGTTAGACATTAACACCGTTAGATACCGGCTCAGTGGTCTAACGGTTAGGGCGTTCGCGCACAATATCGAAGGTCCTGGGTTCGAATCCTGCTGGGTGCAGGAGTCGTGGATGCGCACCGCTGAGGAGTTCCATACCAGGACGAAACGGCCATTCAGTGCTCCCAGGTTACTAATTTTGGTCTGACAATGATTGATTGGTGATTTCAATGGGTAAAAACCCTAATCTCCATAAATCTAATTGAAAAAATAGTATGATAATGAAGGCAACTTTGCTGTTGACTCAAGACAGAGCGGCATACAGAAAGTCTTGGAAATGGTGGGCCAGTAGGATATTAATTGTATCGACTCTTTAAAAATGTGGTCTAACCTAGGGTAAACACCAGGTTGTCGAAAACATAGTACACGAATAGTAAAAAAAGGGCTAGAATTAAGATTCTGATTAGTAGGGACCTTGGCACGTGCTTAGTGTCTTAAGTCAATCAAAAAAAAAGACAAAATAATTTACCCGTGGATCAAACGACTCTTGATTTTTTGCTAACAACTGTTCAACACTAAGACGTAATTCCGGTGTAATTTTTCTAACATCAAAATTCAATATTTCCTCTTGAACTCCTCGTTTCGCTAGAAATCCACGCATACTAACCCATGATGTATCATGTATACCCATAAGTAATAGAACACCTTCTAAGATATCACGTATAATATCTGGTGGTGCACGTAATGCTCGTATTTCCGATAAAGATTCTGATTTAATATTTCCAACAGCCGATCTAGCTTGATGAAGTAATGGTTCAATTTCATTGAGTTCTGCATCGATCTCGGATTTCCGACGTTCTAAACGAATAGATTCATCAGTTGTACGACTTTGTAATTTTTCCATTTCTGATCGCTGTTCAGCTGCACCCTAGTAAATGAAAGAAATAATGTTTATTATTTATTGTTACGTACAATAAAAGAGTGTTTTAATTAAAAGATTACATTGTGTACGATTCGTCTAAAGGCAAAAAATGAGTCAACATACCTCCTGCATCTGTTTACGAACTGAAGCTATCACTAAACTATCAACTTCAGTTTTTCATTTGAATTTTATATTGCACAAAGAAGGTTGACAGTGAAATAAAATAAATTTTTTGACAGATTTACATAGAGTTTTATATAATTCTGTAGGTAAAAGGGGTTATTTATTATGTTGAAAATCTAATACCCGAAGTATCAAATTGTGGTGCCATCCACTGTCAGTCTCGCCTCTCGAAAATTCTGAAGCGCATCCTGCCTATCCGCCGGGCTGTCGAACTCCACCAGCAGCCTTTCCGTCACCACCTCCAAGTCAGCGTCCTCCACACCATCGTACATCGCTCTCGCAGCGACTCCGATTGAGAAGACTGAGGCAGGCGAGGAAGATTGTATTACGCTAATTTACACTCTTAGTCAATTAAAAACGAAAACATTACATTGAACACTCTATTCGCACACCATCTTTGAGTCGTGACTTCCAACGCTCCATCCTTCTTCCATTCCTGTTGTTGCTTAATTCCCTTCCTGTTGGTACTCCATTTACTTCTTGCTTTTGCTCCATTTGCTTTCCGTTTTCCACATCTGACCGTGAGACTTCTTCTTTCACGTTCCTTCTTATACCACTTATATCGTTCGTATTAGTAGCACACACCACAAAATCATTGGATTATATACTTTTACTGAGTGGATAAAGCTAATATAACAAAAAATAGCTGAAGTTACTGGAAAACTAAAACTCCGAATTATTTTTTAGATAATGAACCACAAAACAAAGGACATCTATTTCATTTTAGAATAGGATTAATCACTTGTGTGCATCCACGATACCCCAATCGAGGACCGAACACGGCACCTTCAGTCTAGCTAGTGAACGTTTAACCTCTACACCACTTCAGGCAGTCAGTTGCAATGTAGAACTTCGTACTTATGTACATAAGTTCATGTTGCCACACCACATTAACATAGACACGCAAATGTCAAATCGAATCACATAAGGACGAAGACAGTAGAGGTATTCATGGTAATGAAGAAGATGAGGGTTTGAAGATATTATTCAAGAAGTATAATTCAGTGAGATAAGGTTAGAAAGACAAAGGTAGAGATGCTGACGAATCCAGAAGATTAGGATTTGAGAGAGCACAATGAATGGATGAACTGCATTGCAAACGATTTTAGCCATGTCGTTCAAGGTCTCTAACCATTGATGACTTTCGTCTCGCGGACCACAACCACGTAGCCTACATCTACCAACATGACACAGTCCACTTGTAAGTGACCTCGTGGATTTGTGCCATGTTTTGGTTTGGCCGCCCCTAACTTTCTTCCAACCTACTCCTACACCACGAAATGTAGCTCGTTGAGGCAGTCGGTTGTTAGGCATTTGTAACACATGTCCCAACCTAGTACTCGTTTTCTAACGACAGCATTGCCTACTCGGTTGTCCCACGATATATTAGCAGTCCTTCTAAGACATCGATGATCGAATACTAGTAACCTACGAACATCTACTCTTAACGGCCATGTTTCGAATCCATATAGGAGAACAGAGCGAACGGCTGCGCAGTAGACCCGTCCTTTGGTTAGCGAACGGATATCTCGCCTATGCCATAAACGGCGTAAATTGGCAAATCAAATCAAGTTTTCCATATCCGTGCTTAGAATTAGTCAGTCGCCAGGCCATCAGCACTGACGAGACTCCCCAGATAATTGAAGCGGCCTACACGCTCGACTACTTCACTCCCTATCACTAGTTCAGGTGCCGATGCAACCCAATCTTGAAGCAACATTTTGCATTTCGGGGGCGGGGGGGAAACCGCATCTCGAATATGCTTGCATTGTTGCTTAGGGTGGTCAGAAGACTCTGCATTTTGTCATCGTCTTCACCGAATAGAACTATATCATCGGCATATTCTAGGTGAGGACCGTCAGTCGTGATTAACTTCAACTTCCATCAGTCCTCTATATCGGATGACCATCTATTGTCTAGGGTTGGTAACTTCTTCACGGTGACAAGTTTGTGATTGACCAAACTATACTACAAATTCATTGATGAACTAAAAGCGAACATGCGCAAAAGCATTTCAGTCATACAGACATCTTGATTACTAGATAAAAAGCAATTTTATTCGAAATGTATGTACATATAAACAGAAAAATCGGAAGAAATAATTTCCATATTGTCTTCACAATACATGTTTACAGTGTAATTTAGATCAATTCATAATTTCAATGAAATTAAGCCGTCTCAACAACTCCATACTGACAATAATCATTCTGTTATCATCTAAACGTTTGTATTATTAAATGGTCAATTTCACCTGAAACACAATAACTCATGATTGCGTTTGGTCAAATGTTTCACGGGATAGTCAATTTCTGTTATACAGAAATATGACTCTAAATTGTTTCTTTAAAAACTCTGGAATATGCTTATTCCAATGTTTAGGAATATGCCTGAAAATTTTATTCCAAAATATTTATAAATTGCCATCTTAACTATAATAATAAAGAATTTCTTATCCAGTAAATTTTCATTGGGGTCGACAGTTTCAAATTAATTTATAAATTATTTTTCTAACTACTATAATAAGTTTATGAGTAGAATGATAACGAATAACAAAACTTTTAAAGGAACTGTTCCGCTCCATAAATTTTGACAGAGCAATCAGGAGTTGCTGTAATGTATTTGTGCTTAACATCCAGAACAATATGGTCATACATATGCATCAAAGCATTTTATATGAAAATTAATTACGATCAGTCAAAACGGAATTTCATTGAGAAACTATAAGCATTGAACATCTGTTTCGTTCGAGTACCGGACTGCTCAGCAGTGTGGATCCACGAACCCACATAAGACGATAAAGCTTAGAATATCAAGCGCTGCTGTAGAACGTTTAACCTATAAACCACTAGGCTGGCATATAGCAAGCGATATGAATGTCTAACTTCAATCAATCTACTATTATGAGCAACAATTCATTCATAATCTCTGTTTATCGGTGATAAAGGAGAGAGAAAATTAATGCAGTATAGAAAGAATAATAAATTGCCTCACTACCCTTAAACATTTCTAAGGTATAATCAGGGTTACAACAAGTTGTTTGTTCATTCATACATATGCCCCGTTTCAGCCATGTGTTTTGCTTTTGATGAACATAGTCTTCGATTTTCCACGTTCGTCAGAGCAAATTTATTTATTTGACCTTAGTTAGCTCTCATACTCAATGCCCTGATGTGTATACATATAACAACCAGATTGTATGAAATATAAAGCATAAATATTAATCATATTTCTCAAACCAACTACATCCTCTCATCTCATCACTCTATCATAATAGTAAAAAATGTTAATATCAATTGATTGTCTATCATATTTTACCTGTATTGCAGCACTGATTTGTTCTAAAGCTTTATCAGCTTCCGCTTGTTTTTCAACTAATAGTGTATCTTGTTCAACTGCATGTTTTTTCAATTGTGTTACACGTTCACGTGCTTCTTTCAACTTAATTAATCCACTATTCAACCGTTCCACTTCGGATTGTAATTTTTGTCGACGGCTTTGTTCCAGTCTAGCGTAAGTAGTGCACAGTGACATGAAATGACGTGGTGTCGGTGACATCATTTGTGGATAAGGTGCAGAATGATGAATATTAATACAGGCTTGAGCAAAATTCTTTACATTTTTCGGTATACACAATTTCGGTATTAATAATTTCGGGATTTGAAATAAACTACACTTAGACCAACAATCCATCCATTGTACAGAACAATATTTATAAAACGACGGATTAGATTGTAACCAATGATTGAATAATTCATTGTCATCTATATCTAATATAATTGCGACATGAAGATTTCTATGTATACGTTCGGCGAAGAATGCTGTCAATGGTCCCCGATGTCCAGCTTCAGCTGCTTGTTCCTTGAAATTCTCACCACTCTTTGATGTAACATTCGATGCAATAAGCGTTTCTAATTCATCAGCACTAATTAAACTGCTTACTTCACCACATGCCAGCAGACTATTAATAATTTCTAAGTAATAATCATTTTTCAATTGATAATCTTCAATGATTAACAAAGTTGGTTGATTTTCAATGCCAGCTGATTGACAGACTATTTTTAAATCATTCATAAATTGACGCATTTGATAATTACGACCGATCGATAGACGAAAACTATTCAATTGATGCATATGAGCAACGATACTGAGAGCAGATCGACGACCTATACCAGATCTACCGGCTAGTAATAATGATCCTGACGGTCGACTAAGCACACGATCAATACGACATATGTAATCTAGGAAATCTGGGAATAATATCCAATTTTCAGCTTGTGGTGATTTCTCTCTAGCTAATTGTTTGATTGCTTTCAAAATGATCTCTTTCATCGGTGTATACGTGATCGATCCCAGCGGTCGACCATACAATGGCATTGGACTATTCGGTGGTGATTGATGCTTACCACTCCATGTGACAAACCAACAACACACGGCTTGTTTCAGAAGATGATGATCGTCATCGTTATTAGCATTAGCATGATGATGATTGTTTAAATGTTTGCTTCGTTCTACATCATTTTCTATCGATTCAAAATCTTCTGTGGCCATTTTCAAGGTGATTTGTACTTCATCATCATGCTTTTCATTGGATTCCCAGTCATGTTTTTTTCGTTTATTATGCATATCGTCCACCGGATCAATTGCATTTAAATTATTACAAAGAATTTTTTGGAACAGTGCATCGAATTGTTGACGTGCATTTTCCCCGGGTACACAATCACGAAATAAACGTTTTGCTTCATAACCAAATACTGCCCATAGATAATAATTCATTGATACGCTTAAATCATAACGTAACAATCCTGTGATCCATTGAGTTAATAAATGAGGCGTGAATACACAATGTGCATATTCATCAGCACGAAATTTCTGTTGTAATTCGGTTAATGTTTGAATCATTATGGTGGACATATTGTGTATTCTAGCTGGATTAATCAGTAGTGTTTTATGCGCAGCTGGATTGTTAACTTGTAATTTGGAAAAAATTACCGCTTGTAATAAACAGTCGTATATAGTGATCAGCTGATCTTTGTCAGGATAATTTATTACAGTTAAACGTAATGCTGATGTGAATCGTTTCGATAGGGTATAACGTCCAGGTCCCATTGATATGGAAGATGGTGTAAAACTGCCAACAAATTGAATTCCTTCAATACCAATAAATTCTAAACTACTGGAATCATAATATCCTTGATAAGTAAGTATCTGTGAATAGATATATGCATATATAGGAGAACAAAACGAAAATGGACAATCAACAATAAGTCATAAGGATTTCAAGTCAAGTAATTGATTAAACAGACAACAAAACTAACTTTCAATCAGTCATTACAAACGTTAAACCTGAATCCCACATTTACACATGATAAAAATGAGAATATGGATAAAAAGAAGAGTTAAAACAATAGTGGTGTCAGTGTTACTTACTTACGTACTTACGTCTGTTACACTCCAATGGAGCTAGGCCGCCCCGACCAGTTTTCTCCAACTAACTCTGTCCTGAGCTTCCCTCTACAGTTCTGTCCAATTTTTGTTCATTCCTCTCATATCTTTCTCTATTTCACGGCGTAATTAATGTGTTCCTTGGCCTTCCTCTTTTTCTTTTACCTTGAGAGTTCCATGTGAGGGCTTGTCTTGTGACGCAGTTAGGTGCTTTTCGTAGTGTGCGTCCTATCCACTTCCACCACTTCTTCCTGATTTCCTCCTCCACTGGAATCTCGTTTGTTCTCTCCCACAGTGCGATGTTGCTGATCGTGTCTGGCTAACGAATCCAACAACTGTTAATAAACACTTGTATCTTCTGGATGATGGCTTTCGTAGTTCTCCAAGTTTCCGATCCATACAGTAGAACTGTCTCCACATTTGTATTGAAAATTCTGATTTTGGTTTTGGTTGAAAGTTGTTTGGAGTTTTAGATATTTTTCAACTATAGAAATGCAGCCCTTGTTTTGCCAATCCGCGCCCTCACATCTGCATCCGATCCACCTTGATTGCCGATGATGCTACCCATATATGTAAATGTGTTAACGTCCTCCAAGGCATTTCCATCAAGAGTGATTTGGTTGGTGCACGTTGTGTTGCATCGGAGAATTTCGCTTTTTCCTTTATGTATGTTGAGAACTGCTGCTACAGAGGCTGCTGCTACACTCGTCGTCTTCTCTTGCATTTGTTGTTGCGTGTGAGATAGAAAAGTCAGGTCATCTGCGAAGTCCAGATCGTCCAGCTGCGTCCTAGCTGTCCACTGAATACCGTGCTTCCCTCCAGATGCTGACGTCTTCATAATCCAGTCGATCAGCAGGAGAAAGAGAAAGGGTGAGAATTAGCAACCTTGCCTGGCACCGATCTTGACCTCGAAAGTGTCTGTTAGCTGTGCTTCGTGTACGATTTTGCAGTTGAATCCATCATAAGAATTCCGTATGATGTTAACTATTTTCTCAGGCACACCGTAGTGTCCAAGAAGCCTCCACAGTGTTGGTTAGAAAGATTGAACATAAAACACACACAATTCAGAAAGTAAAATTAAATTCTCGATGATAAAAATCAATGCAAAGTTTTGCGGAAAATATGGAGTGAAAGTATTTGTGTTCAGCTACGTTGTCCATGAATCGTAATAATCTCAAAATCCCAAATTTAGAAGTTGATATCAGCCAGCACAGTTCAAAATGTCACACCAAATGTTTAGGATTTAATGTCGCGTCTTTGGCAATGAATCTCATCGTGACCTTGAGTGATGCAATTTCGGATTTTATGGAGTGTGCTTTTACAGTTAAAAGTATGTCTTGCTAATGAATATCCACTGATACGAAAGCTTATTTAAGAGATCCTTTTTTATCAACTATCTTTGAAAATTTCATATCAAGATTAATGACTAATGACAAATACAGAATGAAGGTAGCTATAGAGAAATTGTTAACATATTAGCCTGCTGACTAACATCATGTAAAAAAAAACTATCAATCAGAATATCGATTCAAATGACCTTGTATTTGAGCTAAACAATCATACGCCGACCAAAACTTGTAACCTTGAGTCACTGCTAAGTTTTTATTGGTTCTCTGAGACCTAACCCTTTATTCCAGTAGTCAAAACTAATATCCATAATATATGTATCTCAAATTGATGTAGTTTATATGCAAGTACACCAGGCTACATCACATCACAGAATAAAAAATGACACTAACAAGCCAAAAGGTGGATGTAGCAGTTGCGTTAGAGCAAAGATATGATATGCTTAAATGCTATTAAGAGTTCACCTTACTTGGTAAACAGAATGAAAGCAATGACTCACTAACACGATAGGCTGTTTTAATCCGTTTGTCCCAGCCCCCACTAACTTGATCAAGAAGTCTTTATAAGGCGTAGAAGAGGGTGTATTCTACAAGCACTCAGAAAATACGAGGTTGCTAAGCGTATAAACAAAGCTTATTTAATACGATGACAGAAACACTCTTGGGAGAGCAACAAAATAGCGTACTAATATAATCCATTAACCAATGACTGTCAAGGATTTTGTGAGGGAAAAAATCAGCTGAAGGTCAATTGGCGCGAAAACATGGAAATTCAAAACTTCAGAATAAAACTACAAGTGAGTTTTGGGGGATCTAACATCTCCAACAAGATAATAGATTGGGAATAAATTAAGAATGATAGATAGAATGATATGTGCTAATGATTCAAACGAAATCTTATGATATAAGGAGTATAAATATAACAATATAACAATCTAGCTACTCAATAATTATTCAATAATAATCCATAGATTAGTTCGCCAAGTTGCTATAACTTTAATCCTCGTTCAGATGTGACAGAAATAAACAATTTCGTTGCAAACTGAAGATATCATTTATATAACTGTTACACCTGCACGTAAACACGTCATTTTGATATGCTTGAACTATTACGAGTTTACCTAGTCGGAAACGCAAGAGCGAGGATCGAGGATCTGGTAACACGACATGCTACTCAATCCAGTTGTCCCAACCCTCATTGAATAAAAGAAGAAAGTTTGATATGAAGTAGAACCAGTGTTCTACAAGCATCCAGAAAGTACGACGTCCGAATCCGGAAGAGAATCAGGATCCCGGATCGGGTCCTGGTCATGAAACGTTACACATAATGCGTATTTATATATTTAGGTTAAATAGGAAACACCATCGAAGTCTGTGACATTGACAGTTAAGACGACCAATAAGAAACAACATTTGAAGTGACATTGAAATTCAGGATGACCAATAAGAAACAACATTGGAGCACGTGACATTGACATCTAGGACGATCATAAAATTGACCAGTAGAAATTAACCAATAGGCATTAACCAATAATTCTCTTAGGATATTGGATGAATATCCTAACAATTACAGGTGAAATACATAACAACACCAAGCTGCGTACACAAAATAATCACAACAATAAATTATGCCGGCAATAGAAACAACGAGATATATCAAAAATAAAGAATCAAAAACAGAACAGAAACGTACTTGTTGTAAAAATGCAATCAATTGACATGATCCCCATTTATCTGGTTTTGGTAGATTAAGATCACGTAAATATAAAATAAGTTGTTCACCTTCTTTCGGTCGTAATACACGTCCACTAGACATTTTCGACGTTGTACTTACAACACAAATACAATATTGCATTAATTTATCTAATATATGATTTGGTGTTGTTTGTGCTGAACATTGAACAGTGACAACATGAGCCGATTTAGTTATTGTTGTGAAACAATAATCTAATAAGAGACTTTTTATGTGTAGTGTAGAGTAAAAGAAAAAAGAACAAACAGATAGAAAGATAAATATGATAATTCACTTGGGGCGTGTTGGAGATGATAGTTTTTTTTACCTTGAAACCATGAATGAATCATTGTTAGACTAACATTAGAAACCTGGAAGCACTGGATGGTCATTTTGTCCTGGTGGGTGAGGTTAGTCAGAGTTAGACGTTAACAGCGTTGGATACCGGCCCAATGGTCCCAAGGTTAGGCGTTCGGACGCAAGACCGAAGGTCCTGGGTTCTAATTCCTCAAGTAGCAGCAGTCGTGGATATGAACTACTGGTGAGTCCTATCACAGGAAGAAGTGGCCATCCAGTGCCTTCAGGCTTCTAACGGGGGTCCAATGATGATCGAATCAAGGTTTCAAGGAAAAATACGATAATGCTTGATAATAAATAAGAAAATTCAACGATACTCAATGTTAGATATGGGTGGTAATTGCAAAAGATGCCACTCTTAGAACTCAATTTGTTGGGAGCTCCCAACATTGATAGTCAGGACAACCAATAAGAAACAACATTGGAGCAGGTGACACTGATATCTAGGACGACCATAAAATTGACCAGTAGGAATTAACCAATAGGAATCGACCAATAATTCTCTTAGGATATTGGATGAATATCCTAACACATGAATTTTTGAACTGGACCGAATAGAGAATTTGAGTGACAGTTTCAATACTCTGACTGCCCATTGGGAATAGAAGCTGTATGGACAAATATATATTAGGGTATGCGGTTATTGATAGGTGTTGTTCGTGTTTAAATAAGGTCATTCACTGGTCTCATTTGAGTAAACCGAACTACTCAATAGTGGGTCCTATAATCGAGTGTTTCTACTGGGTTGATATATATGATCTTGCTGGGTCCTAGTCAAATCTTTCAGCATGCCAATCAATGAATATCAAGTAGTTCACTGATCTACGTTAAGGTCATTGACGACCAACGCACATCAGTCCATCGCATGTCATAGACAGGCGCTTGCATAGTGTTTCTGCCCTTCACTTCTGTTGACTGTTAATACAGTTACAGTTACCTATCAGGAGTGCCCAATCTAGCAAGTCATCTGGTTATTGCGATAGTATAATCCAGGTTAAGTAAAAATCGAAAGCCAAGACACTAATAAACGACCCAAATGGAAGTACATGAGTCAAGAAAATAGGTTTCAATGAACACTGACGTGTGTAAGAATGAACAGCGGATTTTTCAGTTGTTTAGGATTAGAGAATGCCTTTCGCCAATAGCTAGTTACATAAAAAAACCTTAAAAAATTTTATGATTTTGGACAGGGAAACTAATGACCGGAATTCGGCCAGTAGTTAGTATTATTAAAATTGTTCTGACGTGGACTTCAAGGTTCCTTGATGTTTTGTCCCTAT